TGTTATGCTGGTCAGCACTTATATGGAATCTGTTTCAGCAGCAGAGAGTGAGTTCAATGTTGTTCTGAGATTCTGAGCTGATTGATCTTCATACCTCCCTTCCTTCACTCATTACACAGGTCATATCTGTTGGGTCAGAAATGCATACATACTCCACAGAATGGCTCACTGATGATTGCTATTTCTTTTCATTTAAATTTCAGCTAATTTATGATTAGTTCACAATCTACAGTGCACATAGAATGCAGCTAATATAAAGATGCTATGCTATTTCACCAGCTTCAAATCAGGTAGAAAATACAGATGAAAGCTGTTAATGATGCTCTGATGACATCACCCATTTAAACTTGGCTTTAATAAATAGAGATGTGTTAGCAGCCTTAAAGGAATGAAGTCTGATTCTAATTGAGTCTTTTAGATTATGTATATAGAACACTGTGTGAGGTTTCTCATGCTTAATTATGCAGTTTGCACATGTATAACTGTCTAGCTGTCTTCCAAAATAAGCTGCCAATAAGATCAGGGCAAAAATGTAGGAAGATGCAGTGAAGCAATGCACCAAGCCCTGCCTGAACAGTCTTGTCTTCTTGATGAACTGACTGATAGGCTGATGATTGCTGTGAGGCTAATGTGTCAAATTCATATATGAAGGAAGGTGAACAGCTTTTTCTCCCTTTTGTTTTCTACTCATCCATGATAGATACGCCCTTTCCTTCTCTAATAATGTTTTATGTAAGTCAATCGATAACCTTATAGATTGAGAGGTTACTAACCGTAGGAAGACTGTCCGTAGGTTTGACATTGGTCGCCAAGCATAGCCACGTGCTCACCTTCTTCTCTTCTGCAGAAAAATGGCCTCGCCATTGCCATTGAGCTCCCCGCACTGCGATTGCTCAGAAAAACACGCGCGGGAATATGGAAGTGACAATCGAGAATGCATCCGGTACGATTTTAAACGAGATCTCTCTCAGCCATCTGCAAGGGACGAGGTGGATGAGGCTCTCCACACGAGCGGGTGGATCATAATCAAGGGGCCCCCCCGCGAGGCTCAAGATAATAAGGTGAATTACTCCAACTGCTTAATCTTTATACTTTTGGCTAATGAAATTCAGTATGTGGTTTGCCCCTCCCTCTTTTTCCCCATGCCAACCACGGAGATTCAGATAGGCCCTCTTCCCGGGCCTGTACCGCCATGATCAAATCCCATATTGCTCATGCCTTCTGGACTGGAAAGGATATGGGTCATCAGGGACTATATTGGTGCTTGTTTTGGCCTATCACTCTACGAGGCCATCCCAAACACCAGTACCTGGGAGT